GTTTATATAACTCCGTGTATCTTTTTACTATTTTTTATATCAAAACTACTAAGTTTATTTTTAAAAATTAACAATTTAGTTATTATATTTAAATATTTCCATTATTTATGTTTTAGTATCACTAATGGATTTTATTTTTTTATTATGTGTAAATAATTTAAATATTATTTTTTGAAAAACATAATAAGATGATAAATGGTGGGTACCCGTAGTGGGCCACCCGCACCCGGTGGGGGTGGGGGTGGATTCTGAAAAAGTCCACCCGATGCGGGTTGGAGGTGGGGGTGGGTGGAGAAAATATAAGGTGGGTCGGGTGATGGATGTAGCCCTCCCCGACCCACACCCGACCAATTGCCATCCCTAGTTTGAACTATAAAGAGATCGAAAATTCCTAAAATGATCATCTGAGTATGGCATTTTTTCAAATTGATCCTTTGACTTTTAATTAATTATACCCAAAATAGTTCTTTGACTATAGTAAAAGTCCTAAATTTACTAATTTTACCCCTCATTTTAACACCAAAATGAACAAAGTACCATTTTAACTTAAAATTCAATAGTCGAAGGACCACTTTAGGTGCAATTAAAAATCAAAGAACCAATTTTAAAAAATGCTATAATCGAAGGACCATTTTAGAAATTAACTCATAGAGCATTTGCTGAAATTTAGCATATTCATAATATGATAATTAAAATTGTTAATAGTTATAAAAAAAAAATTACTTATGATAATTAAAATTGTTAATAGTTATAAAAAAAAAAAATTACTTACAATATCCAAAAGTTACTAATTAGTCCTTTATCACAACTCATGCAAAAAACAAGTGTAGATTTTTTAGTTCAAAATAACATCAACCTTCAAATATAAGGACTAAATATACTACCTTAGTGACTAATTAGAGAATACTACTGCAACTGCATACTAATTAAAAACAAAAGTTACACCGACTTTATATTATAACTTAGGGACTAAATTTTATAATTTTTCATACTTTATATATAATATAAATTGTTTATAAGTCCAAAAATTGATTATTAAAATATTATGAATTGATATATACATTTATTAAAAAAAAAAAAAAATCTTTTTAGCCATGTTTGGTAAATGACTTTTTGGTACAGTTTTTTATTTTTCACCTACTTTAATTGTTTTAACTAAAGAATTGATGTTTGGTAAATAACTTTTGAAATCAGTTTTCAGACAGTCAAAAACTACTTAAAGCATCAAATTTCTCACTTCCAAATTCTTAATGTAATATTCTTCTTAAGACCCACCTAATGAAAATAATCTATTCTTGTTTGACACATCAGAAAATAAAAGTGAGAATAGAATTTAAAAGTTCATAGAGTAGAACTCATTATCGTTCATTGTCTATCCACGGGTTAAATCACTGCCTCACTTTAAAAAATCAAGAATTAAAACACAAGACAAAAACTACTCTAATTTATCTCATTTTACTTATTTTGTTTACTATTATCACTCAAAATAAGACAAAAAGAATATATTATATAGTCAAGGACTAATATCGCTAATTTTTTCCTATAAAATTTGGAGGAAAAAAAAAACACACACACACTATGATAAGCACATTTTACTGGAAATATAAGCCGACACTTGAATACTGCAAAACATGCCAATGCCTTATTTCAGGCATTTCAAATGAAATGTTGCAGGTTAGATTATTTCATATCAGCAGCCTAAGAACCATAGTAACAGTATAAATAAATTTAACTATAAAAATGAACTAATGACTGGTACATATAAATGTTGCAACAATGTACAGAAGGCGACTGGGGGGTGTGGAAAGTAAAGACCACAGCTACAAAGGAAATGGCAATGGCAATGGCAAGAAAACTCGCAAATGGGAACGTGTTCGTGAGTGTACAATTCTGTAATTTTCATTGCATATTTTCACTTTATGTTCAAGGCTTGAAAAGTCTGTAACATGTGCTACGTCTCAAATAATGTTATGATGTATACATACATTATAATATAAATGGATTTCATACTCCATTGAATGCACACCGCAAAAGCCATGAGAATTGAAACAGACCACAAAATCATGCAACAGATGACAAGGGATAGGATAGTAATAGTGCAACAGAGAATCCTAAAGATTTTCATTTGTACAGTTTAAAATTCATTCGGCAGTTCGTTCAAGAGGGGTGAAAACTAAATGCATGAGATCAGAGATGTACAGAGAAGGCATTAGTTGGAAGTTAAAAACCTGAAAGAGTTGTCCGAAATGAACACATGGGGGAATCTCCACAATGCTCGGGATGTTTAACAAGTGGTGTCACCTCTTTAGTGGCTTATAGAGGACGACAGTAACATATTTGGACTGGAACCTTTGGGTCAGGCCAAGAGCAACAACGGATTGCGATGCCCATTCTTTCTCTATGAAAACGTGGTTAAGCACCACATGCTGGGGCTTAGAAGAAGCATCTTCTTCGTCTGATTTTTCTGAATCAAGAACAGTTAGATGGAGTTGAGGTGGAACTGCTGGTGGATCCTTTGCAAAATCTTCATCTCCTGGAAATGCTTGGCAATAGGTAGAGTCAGGTGACAGTGGGGCCTCAAACTCTGAGACACTTTGAAGGTCATCAGGCACATAACCCTGTAAAAATAACACACTACTATAGTCATTCGAATAGGACTAACAGAACATCACACCAGAAATAGCATTAGAGAGAGAACATATATATTTCCGTTTTCATATCCAGCAATACACAATCAACAAGATCTATGCATGTATGGCCAATTCGCCAACAAGACATATCCCAGTTGCATGTATGTAATTACATATATAGAAATGTGAATAAACACAAAGTAATCATTTTTTTTTTTTATATAAATGAGGTTAACAGTAAAGTTATGCTCTGCAATGATCATGGAGAAAAGAAAAGAACTAGAAAGCTGAATCAAAAGAAAAGCTTGGGTAGTGAAAGAAGAAATTAGAACACACACTTCTTTCAGTCATATCATAATATCAATGGAAGATAATTAAGAGTTTTCCATTTCCACAACAAACTAATGGTATTTTCAAATATCATGCTCAGCCTCCAACACAAATGAAAATCTGACTCCACATCATCCTTATGGGTTAATTGAGGAAGTGTGCAAGGGAAAAGGGGGTAGCAATAAAAGAAAAAAAGGAACAAATTGTTTGCAAATTACTTCACAGCATTGATAAACTGCCAGAGAGAATGTATTTCCAAAGGAACATGAGAGAGCACATTGCTGCGAATTAATTATATCTACACTTTCAAAAGGTTTCAACATGACAACACCCATTCAAAGCAAGCAATTAATCAATCAAGTCATAAGGCAGTTGTTGGAATGTACCCAAAAAAAAATAAGGCAGAAGTTGGCCACCATCAAATACTTTCTCTCATGTTCTTCAACGAGAGGTTCCTTTTTTTGGGTGGGGGTGGGAGGAAGTTGTGAGAAAAATGAGATTAAGGAAGAATATTTACTCACATTAACATCAAGAAGATTACAAACACCACCAATCTCATCTGCTACAAAGGGAATATCCGGGATATATCTAACTTCGCCATCCACAATAAATTTGTAACGATATACACCTGATGGGAGGACCAGGAGAATAGTGTGATCCTTGCCTGATCTCTGAAGTGTCTTCCTACAAATAAATATCATTAGATCACTGTTTACATCTCAATAGATACGAGTACGAAAAGATTTTTTTTAGGAGTAGCTCTAAAGAGTTAACTGTTTGAAAAAGTCGAAACAATTCACCTTGACCTCCAATTATCCCAAGAGCCTTCCACAGCCACGCTGTTGCCGCCATAGCTCCAAGTTATCAAAGTAGGTATGCCCTGCTCCAGACTATGATCAGCAGTAGTCTGAGGGTCACTGCCCCATATTTGATTGAAAACAGGAGCAGCATCACCACCTTGTGGTAGTAATGGAGCTACTGGAACCTAAGAAAATGAGAAGAGGTGGAATAACATCATGATGTAAATAATTAAGCATATACTTCACTCAAGGATGCTGCTTTCCTTTCAGACAAAAAGTACATAATTTGCAATTATAAGCAGTCAAATGGATCATTATTCTTCACACTGGTTGTGATGGATGATCATTCTAATTTGGGAAAACAAAGTGGAGAACACCCAATGGGAATCTTTTCAACCCTTTAAAACCTAAGTTCCATAGGAAAAAATTGCTTGGTTTAATACATCCATCCCCAGGGCCCAGACAATATTTAATCATTGAAAGTTTCCTCAAAATAATCTTAAAGTCAGGGGGAAAAGCTACAACCTTCATCTCTCTCATGCAAATTTAGTAAAAGAACCAACTTAGGTTCTTCTTAATCTAAACAGGCTGAGTCGCTGAGACTTCTCTTGTCATTAAAGAGATTGTCTCATACTATAATCTTCGCTAGATTCTGCGGAATATCACTGATTTGTTAGTCTTATTCTAGATTCCAGATGCTAGCAGCTTATCAGCTATTCAACTGCAAGACTTGGAGAGCAAACGTGACATCAAACATCTAGTGAAATCAGAATCATTTCATCCTAAACTTGACTATGCAAAAAGGATTTCCAGCTAAAATCTACGGCCAAACTCACAGAAACTCAAATGACAAAGAAATTGGCGGGGACATAACAACATAGCAAAACAAACTCATAAAAAGACGGAGAATGGTGAACCTGAGGAGCGAACAAGAGAGGCGATGGAGAGCGGTGTGGACTATGCAGCGGCGAACTGGACATCAGGTCAGCTGAAGGAACGCGCGAATTCTGCGCATGATCAAGCATGCCAGATTCACCATTCGATCTTCCCGGTACATCATCTCCGCCGTCGCCTAAAAGTCCTTCTTCTCTCCCATTCGCATTGCCCATCTCTTCACAGTCTTCTGCATATACGATTCAATATACAGGTAGAGAGAGAAACAGAATATAGAGAGAGAGAGAGGAGAAGAGAAAAAGAGATCAAGGCGCAGTGTATAGATATATATATATACACACACACACTAAGGCTACAGGAGAAGAAGGTGAGAAATGAGGACGATAAGGATAAAGAAACAGGCAGGGATTTGGCGTTAATTACGTTGAGTGCCACTGGGAAATCAGCGAGAAGCCGATAGGACGGCTGGAAGAGCAAAAACGGAGATAGGTATGGATGACGTGGAATGATCTGAAACGTTAAAAAAGGATAACTACAAGATCAAGCTCAGCGTCACATCTAACGCGTACGTCCCTTGACGTGCTTATCCGTTATCTTGGCTTAGCCGGATGCGGTTTTAATTACTTCCCCTATTATATATTACTAGTATTTCACCCGTGCGATGCAGAGACATATATTTAATAATATTGCAATTATGTTAATAAATTAAAAGTAATTTTATTTGTTATTATAGTGGCTATATGCCCTGTTTTTCTTAATTGGAAACATTTAATAATTTTTAAAAATTGTTACATATATACAAAACAATAATAAAATTATGATATGACATTGAATATCAGTATAAAATTACAAATTATTGAAAATTTCTTTGTACACTACATTTTCTGTAGTGTTCAAACCCACATTCGAGTCTTCACATATTAAGATTTTCAGCCCATCTGGATTACTTACCCGAGATGCTGCTACATACAACTGTCCATGGTTAAACACAGGTTTCTTTAATAGTAGTCCGACATTAGATAAAGTTTGTCCTTGACTCTTGTTTATTGTCATAGCATATGACAACAATATTGGAAATTGCTTCCTCTGAAATTTAAACGGTAGTCTTGGGTCAGAAGGAGTCAATCCCAGTCTTGGTATTAATACCCTGGTGCCTGCATTGTTGCCACACAGAATTTGAGCTTCAATGACATGGTTTCCTAATTGTGTAATGATCAACCTTGTACCATTGCACAATCCCAATGAGTGGTCTATATTTCTGAGCAGCATAATTGGCGATCCAACCTTTAATGTTAAAGAATGGTTTGGAACACCGGAGCATCTCAAACTGTTAAGGAACTCTGTAGTGTGAACCTCCGATAACATATCAGAACTTGTATCTGACTTGCAAACCGAATCACAGCTCAAATATGTCTTGGAAGTTGCCTCATTCATACTGTTCATGTATTCATTCACCTTGTCCACAACATCTAATGTTGGAGCTAATATAGCTCGGGACTCTAAAAATTTATGATCAAATTGACCATGACCGTATGAAGGAAATGTGCTTTCGACAATTTCTGCTATGGGGTCAACTTCATTTCTTAAAACAAAATTATCTGGAATCCTTATATTGAAGACACCATTTTTCTCTTCTCCTAAATTTCCATCTCCTAGATCAGCAATCCGTTTTGCAAAGCTGCTTAACTTAGCAACTTCTTCTGCACTTGAAATTCCACGCAACCTAAGATTCTTGGTTAAGTGTAGTACTTCGCAATTACTCCACAAGTATGATGAGTTTATACTTGCTTGTACTATTTCTTGTCTGCTGCCTTTTGGTATAACTGGTAGTATTTGTCTAAAATCACCTCCAAGTACCACTGTTTTTCCACCAAAAGACATTTCTAAGCTTTTTGGATTGGTGAATCGCAATATGCCTCTCATTGTCCGATCTAATGCTTCAAAACAATGTTTGTGCATCATCGGAGCTTCATCCCATATGATTAACTTAGCTTTTATAATCAATTCAGCAAGTGGACTACCTTGGCTAATGTTGCAAGTTGAGTCTTCATTCACTGCAATGGGGATAGAAAATCTTGAGTGTGCAGTCCTTCCACCCGGTAAAAGTAGTGAGGCTATACCGCTTGATGCTACATTCAAAACAACTTGTCCCTTTGACCTTAAAGCAGCCGACAGTGTCCTCCATAAAAATGTCTTGCCAGTTCCACCATATCCATAAACAAAGAACAAACCACCTTTATTAGATTCAACATCCACAATCACTTTGTTGTATATGAGTAATTGTTCATCAGTTAGTTTAGAAAACAGAGATTCATGTTCTAGCTTTAAAGCTTCTTTGTCGTACGCCAATTCTTCGTACAACAACCGATTACCGAAATAGTATTCATGACTTTCCACTGGCATCGGCATTGGTGGATAATCACTTAGAGACTTGTTCCAAGCATTCAACAACTTTTCCACTTCCATTAATGCCCCATTTTTCTTCTGTTCGTCATTGAGCATCAAATCTACATAATTTATAAACAAATTAGTTGAATATATAACTGCAAAAAGTACATTTAAGTATGTGTTTTGAAGAAGAATTGTTTACCTGGATTACTTGTATTTCTTTTAGCATTGAACTCAACATCATCAACTAGGTATTGCCAAACAATATCCCACACTTTCTCTGGTTTCGCCATTGAATTTGATGTCAATAAGGTTACAAACAATTTACGTAAAGAATGTGCTGAGGACCATATCGCTGCTTCACTAATCGCGTCAACATACTCTTTATCATCCTCGATTAAACCATGTGCATAACAGACATCTCTAAATGAAGTATACTGCACCCCCTCAAAATATTTAATTTCATCAAAGGACCTTGGTCCACGCACAATATTAAGTAAACATCTAAGATAGAAGATTTCTCCGCTATTTGGCGGAACATAAAAAATACGACCAATTGCAAACTTCCTTTGCCTTGGATGCCACTCTCTCTTATCTTTTTTCCATACAAATTTTGTTGGCATTTCAGCGTAAGTCAAGTTTCTTGCCTCGCTATATTTGCTGTTAGCATCAAATCATGCCGTGAACATACTTTGTCTCACAGTTGAACGGTTAACAACATCATTGACAACATCATCATCATTAAATATGATTGATTGCTCATTTGGTAGATGAAAGCTCAAGCGCTCTACAGACGGATCCCTCATCTGTATATCAAAGGCGAACATCTTCCATGCTGCCTCACAGGGTGAAATATACCTACAATCATAATACATCTTGATCTCATCGATTACCTTTCCATTAGCTTCATCAGCAACACTGTTGTAGAATTCAGCCGTAACCCGATCATTCTCCTTGTTCACATACTTAAATAAGTACTTAATTGATCTGGATTGATTGCACCACTCTGCATTTATATGAGCGCTATACTTCACCAATAAATGCCTGTTGTGTGGAACGACATACCTGCTATCTAGATCTATACCATTTTTCTTTATGGTCCTACCGTTGTCACTCCTACGGTAAACAGGATAACCCTCTTCATCCATTGTTGATTTCTCTACAAATTTCTTTGGATAATATTTGGAGCATCTACCATTAACCATGCATGGTGAATTCTTCCTACACGTACCACACGGACCGTACATCATAAATTCTTCTACTGCTTTGTGATACTCTGGGTCGCACAACTCACTTGGTATATCTGCTGAAATGAAGTTGTCTAAATCTGTTGCAGCCACAGACCCACGGTGATTTGCCAGAAACAACAATATGTGCGCATGCGGTAAACCTCTTTTCTGAAATTCAATGGTATAAATCACTACAATAAAAAAACATTAATAAATTCAGTATTCTGAAATATAGATCAAAGGACTTGTTAAAAAATAAATAATTTTTTAAACTTTAACATATAAATTCTTTACCTGCTAGAACAGAACCAAATATGTTTTCTTTATGAATCTCCTTGATTAGAGCATTTAACTTCATCTTAAAGACACGACATATTATATCTGGCCGATCTTCTGCCTTTAACCTTCTCTCTTCCAAAAATCTGACAATTTCAGGCCATTTTGGGTTACATGTGAATGTAATAAAGAGAGTTGGATACCCAATCCATCGACATATTGCCATCGCATCCTGGTAATTTTGGACCATATATCTTGCACCACCTATAAAAGTTGAAGGCAAAATAATTCGACGGCCTTGGGCAGATGGATCAAGTTCACCATGGGTCAGAGCATCTGTCAAGCATTTATAAGACTCACATCTCAATGATCTTTGGTGGGTCCTAACATATGTTGGAAAAATTAGCTTAAAATGGCATATTAAGTGGCTATTTTGTGGTACAATTATCAGTGGGGTCCACTTCCGATTTGGGTCGGGTCAAAGTGGATTCGGATTCTTCGTAGTAAGACGAAGAGATTGATATATTGTACGCTCAAAACGGATAATGGGTGAATGAGATATTGATTCTCAAAGTAGACCCATTTAAGTTGGGAAATGAAGGGAAAATGTAGGACTTTGTCCCACATTGGTTTGGAAACAAGATTTGCCCCCCTTATATACATGAGCTCTTTTCAAGCTTGTAGAATTGTATAGCATAGAGGCTCTCTCGCGCGGGGGGGGGGGGGGGGGGGGGTGCAAATCAAAATCCAACTAGAGGACATGAAAAAGGCTTGAAATCAAGCTCGCGTGGGCTGGCCTTGCGGGCTAAGTTATGCCTAACTTCGGTATCATTTTGCACCACAGTGCACACGAGAGATGTACTCTCGTGTTGCCTGGTCCGTGCGCTCTCGTGTGAACCTGCACCCCAACGGTCTGAAACCCGAAAGTGCAGAAGATTAAACTCATCTGTTACGGAATTAATACTGTTCTAATTCCAATTTTTAAATTCTGAGTTTAATCCTACTTAGTGGTGACCGTTACAGGTGTTACACAATTGGTTTTAACACCAATTTAATGGCCATGTTGAATGCTATCACTCCAACATCCCTATATAAGGAGAGGTAGAAGCAGTAGCATTTTACACAGTGAAGAAACAAGGAAATTCCAGTAACTTTTCATCTCAAAACTTCTGCTTCTACTCTCTTCTTTAGCCAATCTGTGTTCTCTACTTTGCTTTGTTTACCGGGTTCCTTGTTTAGGTGCTTAAACAAGGAATCGTAGCACGTTTTATCCTGGGAAACCTAGGCTACAACGCTCCTAGCACTTGTGGGAGGTAGCAAATAAGGTTTTAAGGAAAAGAACCTTGTGTTCGAACTCGTGCTAAACCTATACCCAAACACTCAACCTTTTCCTTCCCAATTCTTTCTGTTTTCCCATATAATATTAATCTTTTCGTAGGATTATTATTTTTGGGATTTTTCAACCATATTACCCAACAACATATACTAAACGCCCAGATTCGATCATAGTGTATGCATCTACCAGGAATTGTTGTAACAACCTTCTTGCGAACAACAATTTTGACATCTCATTTTTTCTATCTTGAATATAATAGGAGAAGTATTCTCTAGGACTAATCCTAATACGACCAGGTCGGCCTTGTTGTTGAACACCTGAGAATTGAATATCCTCTCTATATCCGTCTTCACCAAATGGGAATAACAATGGGTACTGCAGTGGTAGATAGGCCGGGTTTAATTCACTAATCCTTTTAAAAATACCAGATCTTGATTCCACCAAGATATCACGTTCTCCCATATTTGGATCTAAGTCTCCCACTATCAAAGCCGCCACTTCACTGACTTGTGGTAAATTATACGTTCGCGCATCCTTATTCCTCTTTCCTATTAATTTGATCTTAATCTCTGCCATCGGATTTGTTTCAATCTCTGTTCTTGCCATGCGAAAACTTTTTACTAAGACATTGTTTTGATCTAATGCGTCTTGTATGTCTTGTACTATCTCTGCATGTAGTTTATTGTGAACATCATCTTCTCTGTATATTTATGACAAAATATATTTAATTAGCATAATGTAGTAAAAATTGAACAATGCAATTTATATATAGAATGGAATTGACGTACCTAATTGCATCGATGCGATTTTGTATTTCGTTTTGAGTATCATATATATACAATTGAGCAAACTTCGGTCGAGAGCCAAATTCAGGCATTAGGCTTCCCAAAAGGTGGAAATTCTGACCGTGTAAGCGGAAAACAGGTGGTGCAGTACCATTATTCAAAGTCCTATCAATTTTTCCACCCATTGAAGTGAAGCAAAACATATTGTTGTAGGACCTAATATTTTTTAAAAAATGACCACTCTTGTTGTCATTCTTAAAAAACAAATCAAACAATGCAGCAGGCGGAGTCGGTTTAGTAGGCAACTTGATTTTTCCGTGAGTACAACAAAGCGAATACTTTGGTCTTGAAGTTCCCAAAATTTGGTTGATCCTTTCTTCCATCCAAAACACCGCACCACAATGGTCACATGAATATATTGGATCACCAAAGTCTAAATATGTACCTATAAAAATTTTTGTGAATTAATGTTATGTTCTTAATTGAATATACACAATCAACAAATCAAACAACATATATATTGAATTCTACAAATTTGAAAATAATATACTAACCATTCTGCAAAGATGTAACATAAGTTGATCCTCTAGTGACCGTGTCAAACTCGGGCATTAACAACCTATTCAACCGTACATTGCCTTGATTTAAGGTTGGATTCACAACACATGAACCTAAAATGTTTTAAATTGAGATTTGGAAACAAAGAAGATAAATGACATGAATGTAAAAAATGATTAAAAATTCCAATTATTGAGTATTATGAGATTTACCGTTTCTGTTGTCTTGAAAGGGATGACGAAGAATATTTTGATTAACATTCGGCACTTCCCCTATTGTCTGTTGGCATATTGTTGAATTTGTATAATAACCTGGGACCATTGGAAAATAAGAATTTGAACGATTAATTATAAAATTTTAAAACATAACATTTTACAATTAATTACCTTTTAGCGGTATTTAACAATGGTATAGTCTTAAAAATCAATTAATCAAGCAATCAAACAACATATATATTTAATTCCTAAAATTGTAAAATAATATACTAACCATTCTGCAAAGATGTAACAGAACTTGATCCTCTATTGACATTGTCAAACTCAGGCATTAAGAACCGATTCAACCGTACATTGCCTTGAGTTAAGGTTGGATTAACAACACATGAACCTAAAAAAATGTGAAATAGAAAAAATTAAAAAACTAAGATGAATTAAATGAATCTCAGAAATTATTAAAAACTGTCGAATTTTTGAGTTGTATGAGATTTACCGTTTATGTTGTCTTTAACGGTTTGACAAATAATATTACGGTATCCATTCGGCACTTCCCCTATTGTCTGTTGGCATGTTGTAGAATTTGTATAATAACCTGGGACTATTGGCAAATAGGACTTTGTAACATTAATTACAAATTTTAAGAACATAACATTTTACAAATGATTACATTGTAGCGGTATTTAATAATGATCTAGTCTTTAAAATCAAGCAATCAAGCAATCAAACAACATATATATTTAATTACAACAATTTTAAAAGAAAATACTAACCATTTTGCAAAGATGTAAGAGAAGTTGATCCTCTAGTTACAGTGTTCAAATTTAGCATTAACAACCAATTAAACCGTAAATTGCCTTGAGTTAAGGTTTTATTAACAACACATGAACCTAAAATGTGTAAATTGAAAAAATTATAAAACTAAAATGAATGACATGAATGGAAAAAATCATTAAAAAAAATCAATTTTTTCTATTTTATTAGATGTACCGTTTATGTTGTTTTTGAATGGTTGACAAATAATATTTTGATTAACATTCGGCACTTCCCCTAATGACCGTTGGCATGTTCAAGAATTTTTATATTAGCTAGTACTATTAAAATTTTTAACAACATTTAATTTTACAAATGATTACATTGTAGCGGTATTTAACAATGATATAGTCTTAAAAATCAAGCAATCAAGATATATATAATCCCTAAAATTTTAAAATAATATACTAATCATCCTGCCAATGGTTACATTTTAAAAATAAATGATTAATTACAACTTACAAATTATTAAAATATAACATTTGACAAAGGATTACATTGTATGAGTATTTAACAATGATATAGTCTTACAAATGTAAAAAAGATTTAACATAATATATAAAATGTTTAATGAACAATTGAAATAATAAATTAATAACAATACGCCAATACCATTAGTCACGGTGCTAGATGGGGTTTCCATATTGTTACGAAGAGGCCTAAGTACACGCCTCTTATTCGTTGTTAAAGTGTTGTTGCATGTCAAAATGGACTTTGAAGTGCTTGGCAAATGATTGTTTTGATTACCTGAACAAAATAGCAAGAAAAAGCAATACTTCAATCTTACACTAAAACTAAATTTCATTCTCCAAAAACACACTGAAAAGAAAAATTATTTACCATTCATTTGATTGCTTGACGGTGTGTTGAATTCTTGTAATGGTATTGAAGTGTCATGATCTCTAAAGTTGATATGATTCTCTTTATCAAAATGGATTTCTAGATTGGTAGATTGATTTTGTCCAACTTCATCTTCTGCCATATCAAATACGCAATTAACACTTAGTTTAGCTAAATATATCAATATATATATATTATAATTGGAACTCTAAGTTAAGAAACATTCGATGAATACATCAATTTCTTTAGTACCAATTCAACATATTATGATTTATGCAAAAAATGACATTGTAAGCAGTTAAATGTTATAAAAACTAAATAAATAATTATTTAGTTATTGATCAAAGTGTAAACCCTATGTGATATACTAAATAAATAATTATTCTGTATTTTTATTAATCAAAGTCTTCTCTGTACCAATATATAAAATTAAAAAAAAAAAAAAAAAACAATATGCCAACCTCGGCATACACGTGTAATGTACCCATGATCCATTTAGCTAAGTAAGACTTCCTTTCTCAGAAATGAAGAAGAAATGTCGAGAAGAAGCATTCTAGACATTTCCGATCTTCTAGCTATCTGTGTTACCATGGACCTATCTAGACAAAGCACTGAATCCTTCTATATTTCTTCATCCTACCTCACTGACTGCACCTTACCTCTCTGTTTTACTGTTGTCAATTTCTATTTCTACGCATCAAGATTACATAGAGTATTAAGTTGTAATGTTTTCACAATCCAGATCTGGAAACATAGAATGAGTATTTGGTTTTATTTTCCTTTGAGTTCTGTTCTACCAAACAGTTGTAATGCTTCTCTTCCTAGATCTAGAGCTGTTCATGGCCCAAAAGTTTTGGTTTTGAGATGGTATAAATTTTCGATCATCTCTAATAGTTTTCTACGGATCTACAGTGCTCTGTTGCTAGATTTGGATTTTAAGACAGCCGATCTCAAAGAAGGATATACAGATTTGCTTAAACAGGTAGTTTTAATTATATATATACAAATTGTTCTTATACAAACCATATGTTTTTGTTTTACTCTATAAATTCATCGCCGAGTTATAAACAAACTGTAATCTGATTTTTATTGTTGTCTTCCCTAAAATGTTGCAGCCAGAAGATTTACTCTGAATTTCTACGAAGAGAAGAATGCAGATAAAGCCTTATAGGTAACCAAATGTTTATTACCTGGTTGAGTTGTTATGTTCTTCCTTTTGCCGCGGATGACTGTGGATGCACTGATCTTCCTCATTGCGTGAGCAGTAGTATTCCTTTGTGTGTAATCTGGTAGGCTATGTGCAGAGCATGCTTGAATAAGTTTTTTTCTGTCAGTACATTAGACTGCAATTACTTGATTTTTGAGTTGATATAGAGTATGATTTGATTCCCATTAATGATTAGTCTTATTGGGAATAAGAAAAGTCTTTTACTATTCCACCATTGCCATTAATTTGACTTAAATATTTATTTCATACTAACCATTTACTTGCAGAAAATGGTATATTATGAACTTTGTTTCTAATGCCCATGTTGAATGTATCTCGATTGCTATACTTGAATGTAGTTATGTATCTAATACGTATAAGTTGTTTGCAAAATAAATTGCAGATGATTAATTATGATGTAGATGGTAGTGTATGTAGCTTTATGTTAGTTTAATATTACTGCTTATAGGATTACTGCTTTGCAATAAATTACTTTGTTTAACGATTAGTGAATTTATCTTAACTTTTTATTCACTACTAACCTTTATTTTTCAGGATTTGGCAGGTGATGAAAGTACATTCTGATGCCACAATTTATTCCAACGTGATCAAACAATACCTATACATTCTGCTACACTCATTATAGACACAATAAGAGTTTAAATTTAGTGTTTTATGGTCCACTATTTTAATGCAGTACTCACTATTTGCTTATTTGGTTTAAAATCTCTTGTTCTTGGTTAACTGAATTAATAGTTGCTTATTTGGTTTAGTGTCTGTTTACAAAGTTAAAAAACCTCTGTGAATGTTGCATTATATTCCAGTCAGAGGTAAATGAAGACATAGACTGCCAAGGGTATTTATTTTCACTAAAGTATTCTTACATTTATAATTAGCATTAATGCAGTATTTTTTCAACATTCACAATTTTTCAATATCATTATATTTTTAAAACCTGATTTGGCTATATATATGTATCTATGTTCTAAAACTGAATTAATACTTGCTTATTTGGTTTACTGTCTGTTTAAAAAGTTAAATAACTTCTGTGAATGTTGTATTAATTCCAGTCATAGCTAAATGAAGACATAGGCTACCCAGGGAATTTATTTGCACTAAATTAATCTTAAATTGTAAGTTTACATGAATGCATTAATTGTAGCTCCATTATTTTAGTTTAGGTAATGTTTTTGACTTAAGTCTGGAAATTCCTTATATTAGATTCAGTGAAGTTGATGTAGCTCAATTCTTGTTATATGAAGACAAAGTCCCATTGATAGGTAATTTTATACCATCCATTATTATTATTATTTTTCATATAGTTTAATTGAAGTAATTTAATCCATTTATAATAAGACTGTTCTATTTGTTTTAATGTCAGGAAAGTGCAAGCTTAAAACTATATAACACACATAAAGTGTTGTGAAATCAAGACTTAACTTTGAAAGGGATGAACCATTTGATGGTGAAAACAAAGGATTTACCTTTATGTGTGTTATATAGTTTTCTGAAGACAAAGTCCCATTGATAGGTAATTTTCTGCCAATCCTTTTTTTTTTTTTTTTTTTTTTTGCATATAGTTTAAATGAAGTAAGAAAATCCATTTATAATAAGAATGTTCAATTTGTTTGAATGTAGGAAAGTGCAATCTTAAAACTATATAACACACATAAAGTGTTGTGAAATCAAGACTTCACTTTGAAAGGGATGAACCATTTGATGGTGAAACCAAAGGATAGAGCTTTTACAGGTAAAAATCCTTATATATTGCTATTTACACATTACATAGCATTGTAGATTACATAGAAAGGTAGTACAAATTGATGCTCTAAATCTATTTTCAATTCTAAATGTAGTACATAGAATTGTCCTTAAAGCTTCTTGGTGATCTTCAGTCTTCAATGTGCAATGTGTCATGAGCATTTATACAACCTGCATTAGAAAATAGATAGCAAACATAGAATAATAGACAATAAAATAAACATAATTTAATATAGTTAGTCAAAACCACTAAGATATCACATGAATGTTGAAAGGCCATCCACCTTAAAGTTTAATAATGTCCATTGCAATGTTAACCAAAAAAAAACAAAAGTCCTTGTCCCAAAAGAGCATAAAAACTGCACAATGTCACCAAAACAGATAAAGTTGCAGAACCCTTAGTCAAACCGCATTACAACAACAAACTGATTGAGTTCATTTTTTTTCCTGCTTAATATCAATTGGTTTTGATTTTTTTGCATCTTGAGTTGATAAGAACTGGTCCATCAGATTTCTCTTGGTTGAACCTGGAGATATGTGTTCATCATTATCTGCCATCATAGGTTTCTGACTTTGCTGTACAGCAGGGCTACTGGCCTCATCAGATGAATCTCCAGATTCATAATCCTGAGTTAAAAAATAGCATGATTAAAAAAAAAATCAATCAAATAAGCAACATAAAACGAAATGTCTAAAAGGTCAGTTACACACATTAGGATCGTCCTCTTCTTCTTCTTCTTCAGCAAGTAGTTTTGAGAGCTCATCCTTATCATCTTTAAGAGTACAGTGTGCTGCCACCAATTCATCATCATGCGTTATGTTCACCACAGGAATAGGTAAGAAAGTGTTTTTAATGTGGTCATTCTTTACTGATACTTTAAAAACCATAGCTTTGCCTCTAAGAGCATCAAATTCTGTTGGAATCTTTGTAGGATCCTGCAAATTACAATGAAAGTTTAATTTTTCATAATAGTAGGTTGTATTAACTATTAAAGCATATATATAAAAAAAAAAAGGTTGAAAAAAAAAAATCAAACCTCCAAGTATTTGTTTCTGAGATCATAAACACTCAATCCTAATAACTCAGAACATTCATTATCCCATAGCAGAAAAGGTGCATCTCCAGACTTGTCACCAACTCTAACACCTAACCTGTACCTAGGAATTCCCAGTTGCCAACTAATTTTGCAGGTGTCACACCAAAGTAATGCCTTTTTCTGCTCAAGTTTTCTAAAACATCCTTCTTTCTTGCAAGAAGAGTAGTACCATTTTCTGGCACTCTCCAATCCATTGATTCTTGCAGGAACATGGTAATAGCCTGGCTGTTGTATTTTAGTCAAATAGAACAGAGAGTTAAATGTTCCAAATAGTAATCTAAAAAAATTATTTTGATAAAACTAAGAGACTGTAATGAATATTACCTCAGCCCTTCTATAAATGTCAGCTATGGTGCTTACAATCATAGGTCTCTTGCTAGAATATTCCTGACTATTAGGGTATGAAAATGTTGAAACATTTGTCATACTCCTAATAGGAGTCTGCTGATCATTCAAACTAGATAAAATGTCAATGGTTAGATAGTGATACAAAATAAAATAGACCTTGATGGAAAAGTAAAATTTACCTATCCTTGAATACTTCAAACTCGGGACAATCATGATTTATCCAAACCTTGGTTGCATTATATGAACTTGATATTCTTACTTCAGCTGAAATAAAGAATTAATTTGTTAGATGTTTATTTTCATATAGGAAATGTGTATAAAATAATTGTGACAAGGAGATGAAACTTACTGTCTAAGTGCTTTGCTCTACACAGTTGCATCAGAATAATTATAGGGCCATCAACATTGTCAGTAAAATAGGGCAGTACATCATCCACATGTGAATCCCATATTGTGCATTTAATCCTATTGTTCCTAAAATATTGTAAAATATACTGTTAAATAAATGTTGATTATTTTTAATGTATTGAATCTAGAATTTAAGATTTCTGAACTTACTTGGAGTCTTCAATAATAAAATCAACCAGCTTTGATGGATAACCTCCTATAGTAATTGACTTTAGAGGGTAAAACTCAACAACCCTGCCAATGACATCTAGAAGAAAATATTGGACAACAAACATTGAGTTTAGAGTAAAAAAAAAAAAAAAGTATAGCAAAGAAAAATTATTGTATACTAACCGAATAATAATTTCTCAGGAATATTTCTGCCTAGGATATCATCAAAACTGCGAAGCCTGAACATACACTTAGCAAAGCCTTTCCTACGGTGTCTTAGAACAGTAGTTTGATGGTTCAACTTAATCATGTATTTGTCCGGAGTGAGCTTGTACTGATAATAATTAGAAATTACCAAAAAGTTTTTGATACAATAAACTTTTCCCGCTGTGAAATGATTTGAGAATTTATCCAAGTATTCCTTTGGGATGTTGCAATGGAGATAGGTTCCCTAGACAGAATAGTTGAAACAAAAAAAAAACAAAAAAAAAAAAAATTGATGTAAAACAATTTAGTAAAAACTGTAAATAACAATATAGAAGGATTACAACATTAAAAAGCTTACCTCTGAATCGTGAAACAACAGATCTTGACTTTTAATAATACTCGTATTTCTCCCTTCATGGACATCATAACTTCTTACTAATCTAAGCCTAATGGCTTTCGTGTAGCATTCTGTGTTGAGATCTTTGGCCAATACAAACAGAGATCCCATTTTAACCAAGAACAGGAGATTTTGGTTGAAGAAGGAGAAGGTGAGAGTGGTGTTTGCTATTCTATAGTATTTATAGAAGGATGATTCTGCCATTGGGTATCTCGAAGGATGAAACATTAATGAAGATTAATGATGATGTTTCACCGAAGACTGAAACGTCTTCTGAGTAGTCGGCTAATAGATTTCAAATGTTATTATTTATATTTATATTAAGAACTTAAAAAGATATAATAATTGTTTTGATAACTGTTTCTATGCTTCTATTAACACCTGCTGATAAAAAGTTCTGATTTGGATCAACTTCCGATGAGGAAATTGTAGATATTTAAGTATTCTACCTTATGTAGAATACTAACAATTGATATATATTGTTATACGCAAAGTTTTATCGGAGAAAACAAAAACCAAAATAGCATGCAAAAAGAGAAAACAGAAAAAAAAAAAACGTAAAATGGATCAAACTAATAGTCAAAACGCTGTAGTTTTATATGGGCGGGAAAATACAGCCATTTGATTGGCCATGGCTATATGGCTTTAATATATAGAAGGATTAATATATACTTCCTTG